TATATATACATACATATATAAATTGTTGTATTTTAGGGACTCACCCTTGTGACACTGTGCTTAATGGTTGTAAATAGCCAATATATTTCACATGCTGAGATATCAGCTATTGCTGCCCGGGTGACAGGTCTGTCTGACACAGTATTTCAGAGCTTGCAGGAATGAAAGGTCCCGGCCAGGCTGCGCGGGGGAACCCCACACCGGCTGCCGTCAGAAGCCAGCGCTGAACCCATTTTTTGTTAAAGTTTGCCACCTAGAGACCATATCAGGAAGCACCAGGATATACAATGACTACCTTAATAAAAGAAAAACAGATTAATTTTCAGGATGTTCGTAGGTATAGTTAGTTCAAAACAGCACTGCCTTTAATATTTTTTATGTTTAGCTTTGTTGGCAATATCATCTTGAAAGTGTCGAGCTGATACTACTTCCCAAAACAGAATCAGTTCTTCACTAAATTTCTAACATGCTTGTGTAGTCTGAGCCTGGTTCCAGTGAAAAGGGGTTTTTAAAATGCTCGTAAAACATAATCAAGATAAGTACTTTTAATCCTTTTACAGTAAGAAAGATTGTTTCAGAAGCCCTCTCTTCTTCTGCTGGTGGAGCAAGGATTAAATAAGCAGTAAAAACAAATGTGTTCATTACAGAGGCAGAATTCAACGTTTCTGACAGAGAAAGGTAAAAATTTGTTTTCTTCAGAATATCAGCCTTTTTATTCTCCTTACAAAAATATCTCAAACTAGATTAAGATTTTTTCACTGAAAAATGCTGATACTTCCATTTTCATTTGTTTATATCAAATTAGAAAAGTTGAATGGAAATACCTTTAGAAGATTAAAAAACATCTTCAAAGACGTTTGGCAACCTTTCCAGCAAAGTTTGCAGAAAGACTAGCAGTATTATAATTTCAGGAGCACCTGGGAAGTAGTGACAGTTCTTTTATTTTTTCCGCTTCATCATAAAATCTAATTTATGGTTTTGGTTTTTTTCCCCCTCCTCTTCTCATTAAGGTACCTAGGTTCCATTTTCACCCTAAAAAATCTGTACTAAAAAACTCTTTCAAAAATGCAGGAAACCGCACCTACCACCATTTAAAATGTAAGAAGGAAGAAAATCTTTGCCAAAGTAGGCCCGATAATTTTAGGAGATTAATGAGATATTCAGCAGAGACATTGGTTTTATCTCAAGTGATAATAACCCTCCTCCCATCCCGGCCCAGTCACCCCAGAAGCTTTTATAGGGATAAACTGGTACCTGACAATGCACGTACTCTTTCCCTGTAAACATTTTCCTTGGTGACTCAAAATACCCTGTTTGGTACAAGGTACAAAGAGGAACAGATAAGGTTACTTACAGTTGAATTTCATAAGTAGAAGATGACTGGCGTCTCGGTCTTTAAAGACTGGGGTCACGACTGCTACCTATACTGGTTTGCTAAAGGAACTTAGGTCTTGCTGCAATGTGTGCTGTGGCATTGTCTCCAGGCAGCTGTTGGAGCTGGAGGTTAAAGGCCAGAGCTCGAGCCATTTTACTGATGCCCAGGCCCCGTCTTTCCCATAGGGAAGGCGCCCCTGAGGCATAGCGAGGGAGACACCGATATCCCAGGCTCTAGGCTGAGTCTAGATCCAAGTGGGCTGATCCAGCATTTTCACTGCACAACTGAGACAGTAAATTATAATCTGAGCCTTGCTGTCCCAGCTTGATGCTCTTGGAGGCTGGAAGCTGATTTGTAAGATAAAGGACACACCACTGACCCAAGAAAGTGATAAATGCCATGGAAGAAACACCAAACACACCAGAATCCAAGGGGAGACATGCCTTAGTCTGTGTGCTCCTATTTTCAAAATGTTTTCTTTTTACATTTCAGAGGGGCCAAGTTAACAAGATATTAGTGCTGGAGGTAGGGTTTTAAAAATCATTTCTTAAAACACACAATTTAAGTTAATCCTGTCTGCATCAGAAGGAACAAGTTGGTGTAGCAAATAAAACGTAGTGAGAGTTCTTCTGCCTCTCTCCACACGTTTGCGTGGTGAGGGAAAGCACCAGCCAGAAACACGCTGCTTGAAGGACTGAGGAAGCAGACCTGGCAACCATCCATTTTGCATTTTTGCTGGCTCACAAGGCATGTGTACACCAGCTTCTCTGAGCAGAACAGCAGGAATGGTAAAAATGGGCTGTATTTTCTACTTCTAAATTTAGAAACTGAGAAAGCAACACTATGGCAGCCATGATTTATTTTGAGAATTCATTTCAGTCTGCTACTGGATTAGCAAGCATTAAGACCTACAACCAAAGCAAGCGGTCAGGTCTCCAGAGCAGCTCTCTGAGGACTGCTTGCTAGAGCAGGCTGAAGACTGCCATCCCACTCAAAATCCCGAAGCAGCAGTTGGGGATGCAATGCCATGCAGACTTAAGGTAGCTAAAACAATGCAGAAACTGCTTATTTTTGTAATTTTGTTTCCAACATTTACATCAATTACCACATGCCTTCTTGGTATAAACTTGAGACCTTTCCTTAAAGTTTGTCTAGTGGCAAGGCTTCCAGGTTAACACGCAGGCAGGAGGGACAGAACATCCATTTACAAGTGTACTGGGCACAGCTGGCAGATGTTGGTGGTGGCTGTGGGTGACCTGTGTGGGACCAGGTCTGGGATTACCCTAAGCACTTGTTTATTTGTTTGCTTTCTCCATACCAGAATCAGTAATTAAAAGCTTGTTAATTGCCAATAAATTAATTTGATGGAAATTCCCCTACATGAAGCTGTTCTGTGGCTTGTGAAAACAAGATAGGTCAAAAGTCCCGTAAGTTGTATTTTCTAAAGGCCTTTTGCTGGACTGAGTGAGGAAGTTTTTTCCTTCATTGGAAGGGTATGAGCAATCTCCACGTAGCCAGCTTGTTGCTCGCTTGATCAGGGCACTGTGCTGCTGCCGTCAGTGACTCGCTCAATTTCCGAGAGTGAGCCGTCATCTGCCTCTTCCATGGAGCACGAGCGCTGACGGCAGCTCTGCAGGCTCACTCGTTAGCAAGTGAACATTTACTTTAAGGAGTTAAAAGTCTCATCAGAGAAGTGGTAGACAATTGCAGAAGACTCGGATAAAGGGAAAGAGATGTATCTGTACTAAGGTATGTCCTGCAAGAACTTGTTTTGGTAAAAGGTCCAAATACAATGTTTTGGCAAGGTAAACTTATCAGGCTTATTGAACCTAATAATTTTCAAAAGAAGGAGAAAATGAATCCCACCCTTAAGGCCTAGGCCACAGAGATTTACAAAGAAATAATTTTCTTTGTAGAGCATTTTTGGGTCTTTTGTGACATGATGCGCAAGGGAAGAAGCTGCAAATAAGTAACACTTGCTGTATTTTCCATTCCTTGAAAAAATGGTGATAATTCTGGCTCCACCTGGGTTTAAGGATTTTGTTTTACCCTCTCTCTCTCTCTCTTCAGCTGAAGTAGATAATCATTTGGTTCTGCAGCATTTACCGCTCTTGTTTACTCTTGGTCCAAGACAAGAGCTCTCTCCATACCCAGGTGCCCAGCAGATACAGAAATTTGCAGGGCCAGTAAAGCAAGACATTTAACTTACAAGAAAAAGGTATTAGTATGGGAAATTGTCTCAAAAAGTTCTTTGTTTTCCATGTGAATTAGCTGATGTTCCCTGTTTTTTCACTAAGACAAAAGATCAGCAAGCGCTAAGATCAGCACCAAGATCAGACTTGCACCAGCAGGTCTTGCAGAGCATGGAAATGAAGACAAAGCAGCTAATCTTCACAGAGCTTTGGCCTCATGAAGTTCTTTCCACTGCCCAGCAATAGATGTTATGTTGAAATTATTTTCAAATACATTTTGCTGGAATTGCTAAAAAACATATGAACATGCATTCCATGTATTTTGATGGATTTATCTTCCATAATATTTATTGGCATAACTTTATTGGCATAATTTTATTGGCATTGGTGCCCATGTAAAATTTTAGCTTCAGTAAAACCCTGAGGCAAGTAGTTCCACAGCTCAATTCCCTTTGCATGCGAGTGGCTTCCTTTTGCTTGCTTGTCACCTGATAGTTTCATATGATGTCCCTTATTTCTTGCTTTGGAAAAGGTGGTGGTCAACCATTCCTAAAGATGTGTTTCTTTTTTTATATAGGGCTAGTTCCAGGTCTTAATTTACAGGTGCAGCTGGAATATGTTTGCATGATTTTCAGTAATTCCAGTACAAATTCTCTCAAGCCCCTGTTGTCACCAGGTGTGACTAAGCAGAAGTTTAGTGATGTCTTCCCTTCCTCATGCTTTTCTTAGAGACACCAAATAGTGTACTCCATACATTAAAAGAAGCACAGTGACATTGTAGGAAAAGCACTGGACTGATGTGCAGAAAACTTCTGTTTCATACTTCTGTTGAGTGATCTTAGGCCAAATAGATCTTGCTTCTGATTCCACACCCAATATGAATAATGATAATGATATCTGTTGTAAAATCGAATAATCGAATAATTTTTTTGTACGATCATTCATTTTCTCATTTTTTCCAGCATAAAGAAAGCACATCATTTTATGTAGCATATATCATAAAGCTGGAATTTACAAGGAAGCTAAAAGAAATTAAGTATTCAAAATCCCAACGACATTCCCAGTTCCTTTGTAAATCCTACTTCTACTGTTCTGACTGGTACAACCAGGAGTTACTTAGCTGCTTTTTGTACTTTCTGAACTGTACAGATGCGTATTGGTCATATCAAAAACATCCTCTCTCTACAAAGCCTGCATTGGTGTTCACTGCTAATGCATTTAAAGGAAAATCATTTTTAACTTTGCATTGATTTGCAGCAATTTTTGTCTTCAGGAATCAAACACCACACTCCTTTCTAAATAGGAACGTAATTAATTCCTCTTGTTCAACAATTAATTAGTTCACAGTTTCTACTTATGTATTGACCATGCATATTGACAGTTCTTTATGTGAAGAGGAAAGACATGAGGAAACAGCACACATATTTTAATCACACTTTGCAAAGATAGGTCTTAGCAACATCATACAGTGTGTTTCATCAGAGAACTATACTCTTCTAGCAGTTTCTTCTTTTCATTTAATTTTTCCATTATGGCATCCATTAAGTATGAGGCAAAAGGAAACTGAAAAAGAAACATAGTAAGAAAAATGATCATTGAACTTTGTTTTCTTCATGTGAAAAACATTTATTATATATCTTTAAACCATTAGATTTCACTTAGTTCTGACAACTACCACACATGCACAGATCTGATCTTTAAAGTTCACCCACCTGGTTAGTGTCTGAAAATTTTCTCTCTGTCATAAAAATGATAAAAGAACAGAGTAAAATGAAAAAAGATAAACGCCTTATTGAACAATTCATGCTTTACTGACCATGTTAATGATGTAAACTGCAGTACCAGCATCTCTGTCATTTATCTTCAATCAGCTGATCAATAAGAGGTTACAGTCAACTCTAGGGCATGCAGAAATGGTAGTGTATGTTTGCTACTCTCAGGAGGATGAGACAGAACTACCAGTACAGCTCTCAATGCTGTGGCAACTGCCTTAGACTCACATGTGAAAACTTGTAAATAAAAAAACCCAAAGCAAAACAAAACCCAAAACCCCAGGAGCTCCAATTGCATTTATTGGGATATTACATAAACATCTGCTCCTCTAAAAGAAAATACCAAAAAATTGTATTTACATATTTACAGGGAAAAGTGAAAACCTCTTTTATATCTTCTCCAATATAAAAGATGTATTTGCACAATTGATGTCTTCAAAGAAAGATATTTGGTATATTTTTCAGCATCATTGCTTTAATGCTTAAAGAGGTTTTCTTTCACAGTCTTGGTGCGTCAGTGCACTGTATGCTGGGAAGTACTTTTGGACATGGCACAAAACACTAGTCGTTGCAGCTCCACCCAGACAGTGGTCAGTGCTGTGACAGAGGAGAACCAAACAGTTTTTGTTCACCCTTGGAAAGCCTCTGTCAGCTTCAGAGAGCTCTGTCAGCTTTCTTGAACTCCTGGTGAGACCAGCGGTGACCGAGGGGTCAGTCTCACACCAAAAGTAATAGCTGACGCTCATATCAGAAGGGGAGATAATTTTACCTTAATAAGGCCACCAGAAATAAATTGGGTAAAATATAGCAGGTGGTTGAGCAGGCCAATCACCAGCTTCCTCTGCTTTTCACAACTGTAGTTCAAGGCAATACTTTTGCACCTAGAACCACTCTCTAGTTCCACATTTGAGATTCGCTGCTCTGATTTTATTTTTCCACTTCAATATTCCATCCTAAAGGAAAAACTGTATGGTACTTATACCAGATAGAGCACTGCTTGTTTCCTAGATATATGAAACAAAAAATATAAACCAACCAAACAAAAAAACCCAGACATAAAGTACATCAAATATAAATGCTGGTGTAATGTCTGAACTGATATATAGATATGAATTTATATACTGATATTTGTAATTACTAACAAGCCAGGAAAAAAAAAATCTAAAATGGTAGCAAGGAAAATCTTGTTAATAGCAAGCATCTATCATGAAGTGACTGTAATGGCAATCCTACATGTTGCTCAACAGTCACTTTGCAGTTACAGAAAAAGAACAATAATATGCATTATTTCCCTTTTCTACAGGAAAAGGGGTTTTGAAGGGCTGGTACTTGGCTGGCCAGACATGTCTCCATCTGTCATAAATAACTTCTGTCTATGGTAAGAATTTTCTAGTAGTCATCTACACCTGTCAGCTTTCTCCTGTATGCTATTGTGATGACTTTTGGGGGAATAGAGGGATCCAATTCACTGAGCACAAATCTATTCAGAGTAACATAAGACATAATCTTATCTGAAATTCTGAGACACTCACTTGCTACTTTGCACTAAAAACACTGACCCCAGCATCCTGTTCACTCTAATTGCTCTCCCTCCTCATCTAAATATGTTTTTTACGAGAACACTATACCATTACCTCAAAGTCTCTAATTCTTCTTGCCTAGCTTGACTACATTCATTTCTGATACATTTCACCTCCTTAATGTTGTACCTGAGATGAATGGTTTCTTATTGATGTCTCTGGCTCATATCATTCTAGCTACATTTTACTTGCTGCTCACTACTCTCTGTGGCTTCCATGTCATAGCAAAGTGATCTTTCAAGAACTCTTTCAATTTAAATCTTTCATTTAAATCAAGAGCATTTGAAAGTTGAATGTTATGTCATTCTTTCAACATTTGTTGGTTTCAGAGGAAGTGCTGTATGTTTTTATCTGGTTTTCTTTCCATACAGACACCCAGAACTGGATGGTCTCTACAGTCTTCATCTTTAATAGAAGCCTGTCAGATTTACTTTTAATGATGGCTCTGTAACTATCCTGGGAAGCTTCCCTCTACATTTCTCCCCAGAACTTCACAACCGCTGAAGATGTCTCTACTCCAAAGTATTCATCCCAGCTTCCAAAGCTGCCATATGCTTGGGGAAGGCTTGGGGAGTTCAGTGAGTGCTAAGTGCATACCTAAGGAGTGAAACCTTGTTTATACCACTGATAATTATATATTTTAATACAGAATGATACTTCCTTCAAATGTTTTCCAGTTATCTGTGCCACAACCAATTTATCTGAACACTAAGCATTAACAATGACAGCGATCCTAAATCAGTATATTATGGTAGGCTTTGAGAGAAGTAGTATTTAATTTATTTGTATAAATTCAGAACATTTGAGAGCGCAAACTACATGTGGATGTAAAGATTTTTATTTATTTATTTATCTTTACCAGAATTATAGATTTCTTCTTTGATACTAGAAAGCCATATGAATGAAATGGCATATTTCTTACACAACTTATCAGACAGATATCTTGGTGTATAGATAACTGTAAGGTAATATGATCCTAAAGAGTCAGGAATGCTGACAGTTATTTCGATTTCTCTCACCTATTTATTCTGACCTTGAGTATACTTCTTTCGGAGATCCGTTCTGTAAAAAATAAACTAGTAATATTTACCAACCTTACACGACACGACTGAGTCTCACTCAGCACAAGTGCATAAATATACACTCATCTGCCAGTGAAAAGACTCATAATGAATGCAAGGCAATGTTGTTATTCTAATGAGACACAGAGTCTCCATTCATAGAGTACAATGTTACTTGGCCTCTGCTTCACAAAGTCTAAAATGTGTTAACATAAAAATATAGGTATTTAATTTCTGGAATACACAAATTAACGGTTACACCTATTTTAAATCTCCCCATATGGACATCAGTATAATACATTTGCCCAACAAAACTATCCAAACACGCTGCAGAGCTGCCTTAAATTGAATTAAGTGAACCACAAAAAATAACCTGAAATAAAACTAAAGAAACTCAGATTATAATGACCACAACCTCCTAATTTCACTATAAACTAAAAGTCAAAGTTTACAAAAAAAATTAGAGAAATGCTTCACTTCACTATTGTTCTTTATCCATTCTGCTTTGTGACGGCTGTGTATATGTGATTAGATAAATATATATGTGTCTGCCTGTATTCTTATCCTGAGTAATCAAGCCAATCTCTCCTTGCTTTCAGTCCAGGATAAGTGATGTAATGTGGTTTTGTTTCTGTGCATGAGATAAAACATAGATTTATACCATAATGGATTGTCAGTGCACAGGATTGAGCTCTTATTCTTGTAATTACGAGAAAATCATGGTTACTTTCTGATGGTCCGATACCAATGGTAATGGTGCCCAGGATATGGTTCAGACTGCAATGGTGCTGCTTTTTACGGTGCAGGTACTTGAAACAACTGGTGATGCTGGCAGTGGCGAGTGTGCACATGTGTGTTTGTGCGTGTGTGAATACAGGTGTGAACGTGAGCAGAGGACAGGCAATGAGCAGAGACCTGTTTAAAGAGAAGGAGCAGACACAGGCTGGAGGGAGACTAATGAAAGCAAAGCAGGCAAGTTCCAACCCAAGAAATTTGAAAGGAAACAACCATAGCTGTTAGTGCACATTCCCAGATGACACCAGAGGAAATCTATATTTAGAAGCCAGTGCAAATCCTAAAAAGGGGTTGGGGAAAATTCCTACCGATGAAGAGTGAATATACTGTTCCAAACCCTGTTCTAGAGATGGATTATTCACATACCTACAGAGAGCCCACAGAACAGAGGGGAGGGAGTTTTTCTGGAAGTTTTCACCATTGGAATATGATTTGTAAGATTCATAATGAGGTCATGAGAGGAAAGATTTTATTAGGCAGCTTTGTTTATGTGAGATGTGATATCCCAAGGAGTACATGAGGAGGGAGAGAAGGCAAGTGCTGCTGTATATGTGATAAGGGACGTGCTAAATCAATGCTGTCATTTGGTTCAATGCTTGGAAGAGTTAGGCAGATGATTTGTATTTTATTAAAAAATAGTTCTTGGAGACTTCAGGCAGTAATCTGGATTGGGCTAACATGCTGTAGTCACATATAAAATTATTAACGGATTGTTTCGAGACGCTGTTCCTTACAATCAGTCACAATGAATGAAAGCCTTGGGTCATACAAGAAACCTTGTCTAAGCTATGTGAAGTCATCCTCTTGGTTTAGCTATGTAAGTTTCCTGTGATGGGGAAAAGCTAGAGAAGGTTGCTGGTTTGGGGTTTTTTTTTATGATTATAAATGAGAGTGCTACTACACTGTGCCATGTTCAAATAAGAAGACATACACACCCAGATATGAGGGAGAAAGCAGATAAAAGCCTCATCACTTGCCATGCAAGCTGTAAACACACATACATAACAAGATAACCATCCTTGTTCCCTCCTATCCCAAATACCACGAACCACTAAAAACTCAATGGTCTATCATGCGATACCTCTCCCAGCTTCTCTCTCCCATGCCCAATCACTAATGCATAATCAGTCTGATGTCTCTACATGTGACTCAGATACCCCTATGCAGATAGCAGATATCTGCATGTGCTCCTTTGAAGCCTCTCCATATACAGGTTCTTCACAGGCAAGGGAACCTTTTACCTTTTATCCTTATGTCAGTTATTAAGATGTTTCATTTTTATACTTTAGTGAGAACACTCTAGCCATTGGGTGTTAATGTACAAATACAAAAAGGCAACTGAGAAAACACTTGTTGGCCATTGAAGACATAGGTTTAGACAATAAGTGATTTTTACCAGCTCTGTAGAATTCAGAACATGACTGTACTTTTTGATTATATGATTCTTATTTACATAATAATATCTTGATGCAGAGATGTCTCTATGAAATTGTAAGCTTCTTAGCAGTGGTGTTGTTTCTTCACATGTGTTTCTATAGTAGTTGATAAAATAAGGACACACAAACTCTGACTGGGGTCTGTGAGCTTCAGCAATGCAAAAATATTTATCATTGAAATATTAACATTCTTGTAAAGCTGACAGAAATTACTTTTTCGAGTCGTAAGAGTATGGAAAATAAAGGTACAGATGAAGTGTAAAACAGAGGTGTGCTATCCTTTATCATTACACTTTAGGGGAATCTATAAAATGACAGTAAAAAGCAACTAGTGCTTCCCTCAGTCCCCCCAAAATTCTAATGCAGCAGTAAAATGGCGTATGTCAGTAATAAAAATAAAATGTCTATGACATTTTAAATGTTATCATACTGTCACAGCGGAATAAAATTAGCTTGAAGAATGATCTAAAGGAATATGATGCAGTTCATTATGTATAACAGCAACAGCAGCAGTTTCCCAGTGTTCATAAAGGTTTCTCCATTAAATTTACCTCCAGTCAATAATTAGGAGTCCACAAATAAACCTAGGCAATTAAATCAATACTGCTGGGCAATTATGTTCCAAAGTCCTGGCTCAATGTGGTGTTTTTTCTTCTCATGTGTTTCTATAGTAGTTGATAAAATAAGGACACACAAACTCTGACTGGGGTCTGTGAGCTTCAGCAATGCAAAAATATTTATCATTGAAATATTAACATTCTTGTAAAGCTGACAGAAATTACTTTTTCGAGTCGTAAGAGTATGGAAAATAAAGGTACAGATGAAGTGTAAAACAGAGGTGTGCTATCCTTTATCATTACACTTTAGGGGAATCTATAAAATGACAGTAAAAAGCAACTAGTGCTTCCCTCAGTCCCCCCAAAATTCTAATGCAGCAGTAAAATGGCGTATGTCAGTAATAAAAATAAAATGTCTATGACATTTTAAATGTTATCATACTGTCACAGCGGAATAAAATTAGCTTGAAGAATGATCTAAAGGAATATGATGCAGTTCATTATGTATAACAGCAACAGCAGCAGTTTCCCAGTGTTCATAAAGGTTTCTCCATTAAATTTACCTCCAGTCAATAATTAGGAGTCCACAAATAAACCTAGGCAATTAAATCAATACTGCTGGGCAATTATGTTCCAAAGTCCTGGCTCAATGGCACAAAAAGACACTATATCAAACTGCAATATTAAGTGATCCGATGCAATTTTCAGCTGAACATTTTCTCAGAATAACAGAAAAGGGCAAGCCTGCATCTTTGTTCAAGGTGCAAATGCATACACAGTTTGCCAACCTGTATCATTAAGTGAGCAGTCTGTTACACGCAAAGTCCTGACAGAAAGCTTTCATTTCACCACGAGCTTTAGTTTTCTGATAAGAAATATTACTAATGCCTACTAAAGGAAACCACAGCCAAACTCTCTACAAGATATGAGTTAAGGATTTTAAAGGGCATAGAGCTCTTCCATGAGCTGCTCCCAAATAGAGACCAAGAAATCTTAGCAATTTCCATCCATGTGACTTAGCATGGACAGAAATGAAAAGCAGAGCTGGCTGCTCCCAAAAAGCACTCATCTCCTTGTGATTCTAAAGACAGTCGGCTTGCCAAGAATTACTTTTATCCTCAGAGCTCCTCCTGAGGAACCCCACAAGATGGAGCAAAAAACACTGAAAACCTCTATTAACTTGTACACAAACTGATATGGCTAAGAGCAATGAGTTCCTCTATCCTTAGCTAATATTTGCAATCCTAATATAGTTGGTTACACAGTCAACGACCCCCTCACTCTCCGTGCCCTAGTTTTTGCTGTCTGTCTATATCAGACAAAGAGAAGTGATAAAATTCTGCTTAGGATTTTTTAACAATCTGCCAAAGAATGATAACAAAAAATAGAATAAGAATTCTCTGTCATTTTCCATGAATCTGATTCCTATTTTGGAGTCCATAATATGGACAGAATCTTGACATTTAAGTTCTTAAAATGAAGGCAATTTAGTGAATAGAAATATTTGTGCTTTTACTGCCGAGTTCCATGTAACACTACGAGGTTAAACTAAAATGCCAGTATTTCTGACAAAGCCAGTAAAAGCAAACTGATATTTCCACCTCCTCCACTGCAGCAATTAAGCAGTCTTAATGCTAGTAAGTTCTGATAATGAAAAAAACCTGTCATTTTTTTAAAAATCTGGTCATAGGACAAAACCTAGACACAAAAGCTATTAATGATAAAAAATATAAATCCAAATTTGATGGTTCCCTTGAAATGGCTTTCAAGATATTTTCAATCATCCATATTCTTAACAGAAATGAACTACATCGCTAATGGACCCATGCTAGTGAATATGCATTAGGAACACTGGATTTATACATCAAATTTTATTTCTTTTCAGACATCAGCTACCCATCATCTGAATAAAGGAGACAACTAAAATATAATGGAAAAGTTTCAAGAGTCAGTGTGTGTTGTCAGTGATGTCCAAACAAAAGCTGACTATGGCTAGAAAAGCAGGGCTCTCACCTGCCAATAAACTGCCCTTGATCACTTACAAGAGGGGAGCATCCCAGCAGACTGTGTGTGTATTAAAAAAAAGACTTGAAAGAGAAGAAAAAGTATCACACAGGTCACAGCGGCAGTCTCAATGGACCCCTCAGGGATTTCTGCTAGTCTCAGCCTTGTCATCCTCTATGCAGCTTTCCTCTCTGCCCAGAAAATGTCGATAGGAAAATGTTTGAGGGGCCTCTGGTGGAAATTTTTTCATTCTTTCTGCATTGACAGGATGCCAAATCAATATTTACTTCCCACTAACAAGCTGCTCGAGGTCTCAGTAGAAAATATTGTAGAGAATGCGGGAAGACACGATAATAAACAGCTGTCTGGCTATGAGGAAAACATGAATTGACTGGAAACAGGTCCACAGTAAAAGGTCACTGAAACCCATGAACTCCTCAGGTGTCCATATCAACTACTAACTTTAAAGGCACATAATAAAAAATCTCTTTTTCCTAAGAGGTATGAGAGAATGGATCCTTTTCACTCTAGCAAGCATTACACACTGTCTCAATAATTCAATTAACACATTTGCCAAGATCTGTGCTGGTTTTCTCCAGCATTGTTTCACTGGTTTCAGCTGTTAAGTTAGCTATCACGAATCCTTGGTTAGCATCTCTTCAGTTTTATCCAGTGACTCTTATTTTAAAAGCAATAAAAAGGAAATGCTACAATGTAAGGATTTTACATTGCCTTATCACAGTATAATTTGGGACCATCAATGGCAACATAATTACAAATGCAACGGATTAATTTCAACCTAAAAACACTTAGCTACTCAGAGTAGAAAGTTATAATTCATTAAAGGAAGATGTAAATTTAGCACCTGTGCTTCAAGAAGTTTCTGTATATACTGCAGCCACTCTTTATCTTTTTCAAATTCCATTTTTGTCTTTGCTGTTTCCTAAAAATAAAAAAATATAACAGACAATATTTTGACACCACGTGAAAAGAACATAATGAACAATAAAGGAAATATGTAACTGGATATACACTAAATAAACAGCATGTGGGATTGGGAACTATGCTTGCAAAACTAGTTATCTGAAGCATATCCACCAAGTATGAGGGCTCTGTTAAATTTAGAAACCTATCCTTATCTGTGATTGTCCCTAGAAACGTGCACAGCATGTTCTTTTCACATGAATATACAAGTGTATGTGTGATCTATGTGTAAATTTTATGAGTTCATTGTAAAGGTTCCTGAGTCTATACACTGATAAATGGAATATGTATCTAAAATTTGTGTAGTGTAAATTCATCACCTGTATTTTAAATTTGTTTTCTATTTATAGTTAAGTATATTTTTGTGTTTTACACAAATATTCACAACAGTGATTACAACAAAATATACAGGATGTAGAAATTGCTTTGAGAATGAGGTAAGCATGGAACAATTCTGTCAAAGTGAATCACTTTACAGGGGTGTGTAGATGTTAGTAAACAGGGCAGGGATCAGTCCATTTTATTTGTATTCATGAATGTAATCCATATCAGCGCATACACATACAATGCACCTATATCTAACCAACGTGAAAACTCTCTTCTGTAATATAAAGCTCCAATAAGGCTAAACCTAAGTCATCACCAGAGTACTGTTACATGGTCAACTCCTAGACACTCTTATTAAAGTAAGTGTACAGGCTTTTTCATGCATTATTTGATCAGGCCTAAATAAATCTGGATAAGAAATGCTATTACTGTATCTATTTAATAGAGGGTGATTTGATGAAACGCTATCAAATATTTCATAGTAAAATGTGTGATAGAATCAACAAAAAAAGGCAATGGATTCCCCCAGAAACCATCTGTCTACTAGAAATACCTTTAATAGGAATCACAATTCAACAAAGGAAGCATCAATGGAATCAATCTGGCACAGCAAGACACATTCTAATTTTGTTTTCATTAATGCAGAATTCTATTTAAAAAAACGCTATCAAATATTTCATAGTAAAATGTGTGATAGAATCAACAAAAAAAGGCAATGGATTCCCCCAGAAACCATCTGTCTACTAGAAATACCTTTAATAGGAATCACAATTCAACAAAGGAAGCCTCAATGGAATCAATCTGGCACAGCAAGACACATTCTAATTTTGTTTTCATTAATGCAGAATTCTATTTAAAATGTATAACCCTGCCAAATAGTCTCATGAAAAAGGAACTACTAAGAATTTTCAAAAAAATGTCTCTACATCTACATGCTCAAACCAGCATATTTATATTTTATTTATGCATGCCCAAAGTCTTGCCACCTTATGAGTCTCTAACCTGACCTTTTTATTTAAATCCAACTGTTGTGTTCTTTTTGTGCTGGATGCTGCACAATGAAATTCCAGGCTTTACCTGGAAATCCTTTTCTTCAAGAATGGAAATATACAGTATCTTCTGATCTAGCCCCTTTTTACTGAAGAGTCCTTAAAATAACTTACCTCATCATCTTCTACTTCTAATATCTCCTCAAGATCGGTTGTTGAAACATTAAGGATAGATGCTGCCAACTGAACAGACTCTTGGGAAAGACCCTTCTTGCATGCTCTCACTTCTCCCATTTTTTTTGCCTGTTTGATTTTTGTTCTCAGTTCTTGTACGCTGTGCTGTAACTCTCTGGTTAAAGCCTGGAAGATGCAAGCAAAAAATACTGCATTGCAATTTTTCTTGAAGTGCAAACACTATGGAAAAAACAGTATAATTTAGACTAAGCTCCTTTAGATAGGAATTATCTTCATTCTGTGTTATTGGTTCAATAGGATATGTGCCATAATATTAAATAACATGGTATTTAGAACACAAAATATTAATTAATACATTAAAACAGAAAATGTTCTTAAAGATAGGTACAATTTTTAGCAAAATAACTATATTCATAATGCCATCAGTAGTAAGACAAAGCAGCTTCCACAGAATCAATTAAAAATCCTTTCCTGATCCAGTCTACCAGAAATGTTCTTGAAATAACAACAGAGGTGTCAGGCCAAACAGACAGGTGGTCAAACAGACACCTTTTTAAAGCTTATTCGTACCTCATTGCATGAAGAAACACCAGTATACCTCTTTAATCAAAACCTGAAATTTGGTTCCCACCAGGACAGGGTAATTCAAAACTGTCCTGGCTACCGATTCTTCCCAATACAATTTCTACAATCTAAATCATCACAGTAGTGGTTATCCATTGTTGATAAGCAGCATACCCTTGGAGCACACAAGTCCACCGTATTATTATTCAAGGCCTGCATAGGAAGGGTTGTATTCCCTAAGCAGCTGGCTCACACAGAAGGCCTATCCAGGCCAGGCAGTCTCTTTGCAAGGGTGCTTTTAGCAGATAGTAGTGTTTTAAACAGATACCAGCTCAGGCGGTGGGAGGAAAATCAGGTGCCAGACCAGAACCACTGCAATTGTTCTTTAACCCTAGCTTTGACAAGGTCTGAAACAGGGATGCCAAGAGAAGCCTCAATTTTGGATCCCGTTTCTGCTGTTGAAGACTTTTCATTAGTGTTCAGCAAGAACTAGAGCTTGATAGGATGTCTGATGCTGTTAATGCTGCATAATTAAACTGCCTTTATTATCATTACTTCTATTATTAGTGACTAATAAAGACATTAATAATAAAGGACAATTTTTCTATGATCATTTCTGAAATGTGGTATACACCACTAATCCAGAAAGATGCCTGCAGCTTAAAAAAAAAATCCAGAAAAAGAAGAATACTAAATCAGGTGCCAGACCAGAACCACTGCAATTGTTCTTTAACCCTAGCTTTGACAAGGTCTGAAACAGGGATGCCAAGAGAAGCCTCAATTTTGGATCCCGTTTCTGCTGTTGAAGACTTTTCATTAGTGTTCAGCAAGAACTAGAGCTTGATAGGATGTCTGATGCTGTTAATGCTGCATAATTAAACTGCCTTTATTATCATTACTTCTATTATTAGTGACTAATAAAGACATTAATAATAAAGGACAATTTTTCTATGATCATTTCTGAAATGTGGTATACACCACTAATCCAGAAAGATGCCTGCAGCTTAAAAAAAAAATCCAGAAAAACAGAAGAATACTATCAAAAGAAAGCTGTTTGAAAGGTTTAAATGATAGGAAAGGAGAACCATTATCTGGAGTGGAAAAAGGGATTACCGGGATTTAGTAAAGCTGATGTAAAAACCTAGGAAAAGTAAAAAATAGAGCGATGACTAGACAAAAAATTGTACTCGCGGTTAACGGGAAAGAAGAAACCCAGCAGTGGTGAGACCACTCTCCTTTGTTTATTTAAAACTGGAATAAAAGAAACAGTATGAAACATTCTGCTGAAAAGACTTGGTTGACCTGAATGAAAGCTGAATGGAATTCAAACCTGATTTTGGATTTTGTTCCCCAACACCACACAAGTACTGAGTTCGAATAATACCTTCCACAGCTGAACACGTGAACATGTGAACAGTGTGGCCAAAATTGCACAATAAAGAATTGATGGTTCAAGTTCGTACCTCTCCTATTCCTAAAGTTCTCTGGTTCAGTGAAATAACACTAAGCATTAGTATAAATCATCGGTTGTATAACTGAAGTTATTTTGTTTCAATATTTATGCAAGTATGACAAAAGCATTTTGTCAAAAGCAGAGCAAGACAATTTTATTTCAAAATTGTTGGCTGAGAGACAAGAGCATTAACTCATTGTCAGAAGATCCTCCTAGCGTATTCAACTTCCATGACTCAAGCAGAACTGTGATTGTCAACACAGACACCTTGGCTGAGTTTAAAATGAGAAAATAAGGTTTTCTTTCGATCGTCATATGTGGGGCTCATCTTATTAAACTATCTCTCACCAGTAGCTGATAAGCTCCTGAAAATTCTTTTTTCTGCAGAATGCCTTCATCTCATAGAAACTGACTGCAAAATTATGAAGGCTGTTTATCGGCATTTGGGGTAAAGTACTCTACAGCCTCTGGTGTATTCAAAATACAGACATTAGAGAGCATTTGCTGATATATTTCAAAGAAAGCACAACAGATTCACCTGATTCCAAGATTTGTTTATTTTTCTACCACTTCCCAACTTAACATTTTTCTGTATTTAGCTAAAATTTAATTCTTAAAAGCAAAATTACCCTACCACAAATTTGGGGAGAGAAGGTACACTGAAATTTGTCCCATTTTCTGATTCAAGTGTGGGTCCCTCCATCCACAGTATTTCCAACAAAATATCTTGTACATAGAGCTGAGAGGAATGAAGAAACTTGAAATGTTATAGGCAGGGAGCTAGGGCAACTTGGACCAAGCTCATAGAAGGAAACAGACTGAGAAAGGATAGAGCCCCAAGTAGAAAAGCACACACTATGTAAAAAAAATTACAGATAAATCACAACATGTTTTTGTAGCATTTGAAATGGTCCAACAGTAAATTGGCTCCTGCAACATGTAGGAGATGTATTTGACAATGGAAAAACAAGCTCAACGGTACTTTTTTCAATCAAACTGAATCAGCTTCCCAAATTTTAAAAGTAAGATCTCTCTCAGACATAGGTGATCAGGCTAGGAGATGCACATTTGTATACTGGTGCAAAGAGGAAATGTAAATCAAAGGAGTAAAATGTCAAGGAAATTGACATTTGGCAAAGCCACATGGAAAGACTACAAATAATGATAAGTAGCTGAGCACAGACAAACAAAAAGCATGATAATAAACATTGACTGGAACATCTTGGACAACATACAACCACTGCCAGACAATAGTCTTATGATATTATTAGATAAATTTTATTGGTGTATCCAAAATCCCAAAGAGGTTCATGACGAATGAACAAGCTGATAGCAATAGCAACAGTGGAACCCAGAAACTGCAGCTCCACTATGCTTGTCTTTTAGTTCAGAGTTCCAGAAAGGAAGGTACCAGAAGACCCTGAAGAATCTATAGCAGCAATTTAAAAAAAAAAAAGAAAAAAAAAAAAAGAAAAAAAAGAAAAAAAAAGAAAAAGGAAGTTTAAACAAAAATGAAGGAAGAGAAAATTACAACTAATAGGTTTTGATATGCAAGCATACACGTTATATGTAATCACAGTAAATCATACATATAGCGGACTTGCACTTCAATTCCTTTTTTCCCTGAGCAGTTCTAATACACTAAAGCATGGTCTTTCACCGTATGTGAAAAATAAAGCTACTTTATGGACTTTCAAATCGGACTCTCAGAGGCCAGCTGTTTTTGAACCTGCCTTCTTCACATTATTAAGTTGTAATATAATGTCTTGATATACATTTTTCATTGGATAAGTGCCTTAAAAAAAGATAGCCTCCCTATGATTTTAAGTTGCTTTTTCTGTTGATATATCCTCATCCATCATATATAAATATATTCACGTGCTGAATTGTTTACTTATTAGTGATTTCATTTATATGTCAGTTCATGCTTTACTACAGAAATGTTCAATGTCAAAGCCACATAGGTCTTTAACTGAGTTACGAAGAATAATTTCCAAACTGAAAATGACAAAAACCTAAGAGTTAACCAACACAGGTTTTGTTGGTGAGTGTACTGAAGCCAGTATATAATTCTTTGATTAAGAAACTGATTCAACGCATTCTGGAGCTAAGTGTAGGATTTTAAACAAAAACATTTCCCACTGTGTATTTCAGAATTGCTTGGTTTTAAACTTATAAGCATACATACATGATACAAACTGCCTGCAATGAAATCAATGAAGAATATGGCTTCAGCACTGTATTGATGTATGACAGCAATGCCTTTATTAGTACTAGTAATACTAGGATTTGATCTTTTCTCTTTGTTTTTCTTCAGTGTCAAATCTAGGGGATATTTTGTTAGTAAAGTCATTTTCCCAACTTAGATGTCACCGTCACAGTTATTCCTGTGGGACACACTTAGCTGCTACCAGCCAATTAGAGGAGGAATCCGTGATTAATTCCTGAAAACAAATCTACGACACATCTTGTCGGACCAGTGCAATTGCTACTGGTCCAACTAGAAAAAAAAAAATCTTAAAATTCTAACAACCTTAAAGTACCCAGCTCTTTTTACTCAGTAGCAATTGTTGCATTATCTACCAACTCCATATGGTTATATAGTATATATTACATCCACTGGGTTGCATACAGTTCTAAAATATCTCCCTTATAAGCCTTTTTACTTCATTTTCACAACCCAAAATATTAATTCTTAAGATAATAGTTTTCAATTTTGGTTTCAGCATGCAAACACCTTTTAGCACCATATCTTTTGCCAGTTTTGAGATGTATAAAGGTCTTTTTTTATTTAAAAGGTCATATTTAATTAAACACTCAAAGAAGCTGTGGTGATACACAGACCCTGACAACATACTATTAATAAGGTCTTTACATCCCAAAAAGCTCTGACAGTAGTTGATCCTGGAATTGATGCAAATTGATCAATGGCCCCAAGTAATGCCATATGATGAAGTCAATGCCTAAAATTATTCTTGTAATTACCATGTTAATTTACACACTCTATTGTTATTGTTTGTAGTATAATAAAACTTAATGGCCCCAAGACAGACCAAAGTCTGATGCTAGCACTGTAGCTATGTATAGCTAGATTTCAGTCTTGCACTGGTGCAGATGTCACAGCAGAAGCCATGGCTCACATCAGTTA